CCCCCCCCCCCCGGATCCGCCCTTGTGCATTAAGCAAGGTAATAATGTGCTGTTAATAATTTTTTCCGCAAAGATCGAAAAACCAGAAAGACGTCTGTCGCATTTCAACAAAGCATGGGATCCTCGAGTCATTTTTCAAACTCCGCCTCTGGAAGCCTCAGAAGAAGAAACACAAAATGGTGCCTCATTGCTGATAAGCTTCAAGTGAGTATTGTTCTTCAGGAGAATCAGTGGAGAAGTATTTTATAATACTGAAAGAACTTTGCCGTATTTTTTTAAATATTTCAAACCAAGATTCCACAGTTTTTGCATAGGTTTCCATTATAGTTTTAAAGTTTCCTTGATTTTCTTTGTAGTTGTCGTTTTATTTATAGTCGGAACTGCCTTTCAGAAACTATGTTTCCTGCGTCTAGTCTTCCTGCAGCATAGCGTAATATTTAATACACGCATCGTGCGGCTCAAATGTTTCAGAGATAATTAAAATCCAATTAACGTGCATTCAAAGACTTCTGCTGATAAAAAATGCCATTTTTGAAAAGAATGCTTGTAACTAAGCCGCCTAACTTTCCAATCAATCTATCAATGATCAGCTTCTTTTCAGTATTCTTTTCTAACTACAAATCCCTAACAGTCATTGGTCCATTGATGGTGTCGGTTTTTGTATTCTCTTCTTTCATAGTCAGGTGAACTCCTTACGAAACATAAACCAAGACCCCAACGACTATCCCTTGGAAATCTCACCATACGAATGATGAGCACACGGCATGCGGACACCAAACTCCTAAATCAAGAAATCAAAAGGCTTTTCAGACTCCAAGAGATGCGTGACAGAAAAGAAAGCAGGGCGATAGAAGAAGAAAGGGAGATGGCAAGAAGAATGAGGAGTCATGCACTTTTGGAGGGGTATCAAGAACCACAATCTTCTGGTCCACACAGAAAGATCACCTTAGTTGATAAACAAAGAAACAAGTTTCCGGTGAGTAGCGATAACGTGTGAGCGAATATAAGTTAGTGAAAATGGTATTTCCTTAAAATTTAAGGCATTCCTAGCCGGCTAAAAGAAAGCGTAGTATTTAATGGCAGCCCCCTCCCCATTAGATATGCTCCAGAACAGAGAAGCATTCATAAAATTAGTATATTAATATATGCTTACCCGCGCTACTGGAAAAATAGCGTGCACAAGTCAAATTTAAAGTTTGAATTTGCGTGGGATTTAAAACATATTTCCATGATATTCCTATGCGTAACCTAAGTATTACCTCAACCGAATTCACGGCCAGTTCAACATAGAAGCCAGCGGTTTATGACCAAAAGACCGCTGCGCGCGTATCCAAATGAGATATTATAGATGCGCAGTGCAGAAAGCTCTTAGTTTACTCACAGGCTAACCACTCTAATAAATGAAGGAAATACTAAATGGTGTCTTGTCTTTGYCTTTTTATGCGCGCGCGCTATCGATTTTTTGTCATCTCACCTACCCCCCTTGGTAACAATTTTGTTTTTCTACTATACAATATACTAACAAGGTAGGCAACTTCACGGGCTTCCTGTGGAAAATTCAAACTTTGAAGAGAGAAAGCCACGAATTTATCCAGATATTTTGACTTCGAAAACAAAAAAAGTATAAAGAACGTCGTACTTACATCTAATCTTCAATAATTTAAAGGATTTTTTGATAATAAATTCTCTATAAGGAGGGTTTTTTGGGCTTTTTTAGCAAAAACTTATGTGCCGTCAGTTATGCTTGCATCCGAGCGGGCCTGAACACGAGAAAAGGGATCCAAAACAAGTCCTCTCCCTCCCTCTCCAAGTGTTTTTGGTTCGTTACCACATGCTTCCCAACCCATACCCCGTGAGTCTTGCATTTTACTTCCGGTTGTTTTTTTAACCAATCTGAGAAGCGTCGCCTATTTTTGGCTTCGCGAAACTTTTTGTAAAGCTTTTTTATCGTAGAGTTGTCAGATCTATCTTGAAAAACGTCGTATAGAAAA